TACTTACTATTTGTTTTATGTTTGCTGAAGTACAGTTTTCATAAATAATATTATCTTCAAGAAGAAAAATCGTTTTCCAAAACTTTTCAATTTCTATATCTGATGCTGCATTATATATTTCAAATGATTTACCTTTCAAAGATTGATGGCTAAACACATCACGAACCAAACTAATGGGAGCCTTAAGACTTTCAGTAAGGTCTTCTTTAAACCCATTATTTTCATTTGCAACTCTACGAATTTCATTCATTGTGCTAACTTTATTTATTAATTTTTCTGATTGATTATTCATTTGAGTTCACATTAACCCAATGCTCTGCAATCCTAGGTTCAGGATTGACATGATATGCTCAACTGGATTTTTCCATGAATGTTGTGGAGGAGTTCGAATAGCAACAAAATAATCAAGATCTAAAGCAAGAAAAAGACAAATATATGATAGCTGAACACGGGTATATGTATAGCGATGGTCTGGACCACCATCTGTATAAAGACATAATATAGGTTTATTTGTAAGTTCTTCAGTAAGAAGTATGTTGTATAATTCTGTTGCATGGCGGAGAGGAGAAGAAGGTTGAAAAATTGGGTCCTTTAAACCGATGCATACTTTTCCCATATAGAAATCACCATTTATGGATTCAGGTATATTACATATCATTGTTACACTTGGTATAATATCCATTTTAGTATAATCATGGTCAGCAACTACAAACATAGTATTTCTATTGACTACAACTTTTTTTCCTTTCTCAACCGCAGCAACAGGAAATCCTGGTTCTCCAACCTTGCAGTGATGCTTATCGTCCATAAAGATAAAATTTGTAATTTCATGAAATTTTACAACAAATTCTTTCTCATAGTGAAATAGTGCAGATGCATAATGAACGTCTGGATGGAAAGCACGGAGTTGACGTGTTTAAATTATGAATTTTAAAGGTAAATACCGGTAAACTGTAAACTACTGAGCCGTGTTGGATTTTTTGGCCAAAACTGTAACCGTAACCATTGAACACTAGGAATTGCTGTTTTAGATGGGCATTCTTTCTTAATTTGATGCAAATGATCATTTACAGATATTGCAGTTGCAAGGTAAATGATTGGATCATGCCTACGTTCATCTACAGCAGTCACAGCATTAGCTGCTTTTCCTTCAAGAAATTGAGCCGCAATTTCCCAAAAGGCATCATATTTACCCGGTCTTCTAGTATTATGTTCATGTAAATCAATGGCAATCTCTGGGTCTCCAAGATCTAAAGCAGTTCTAACTCGCTTATTGACTTTAGCTTGATTTGTAGTATCAGCTGCAGAGGCATCACTGGTTAGCATTCGATAGATTGTTCTGAGTGATTATGGCTTGGCTTTTGGAAGAAGCAAATCACAAGAACGTATATAGTTTATTCGCATTGCTCTTGTATGATAATGAGGGGCATCTTCTTGCAATTCGCTTATGATTCATTTATTTTGTTGTAATTCTCTTTTTCACTAACTTGTTCATCGATTTTCCATATTGAGATTGCATTAAAAGCATTATTTCCTGTATTGAACCGATACTCTCCGACTTTAAAAGAAAATGCATGAGATAAACCTTGTATGTAGCGCATTCTTTGTCTATATCAAAAAAAAAAAATAAAAACTGGTTTTTTAGTTTTTTATATTAACATTATTTTATATTAACAATTATAACAAAAACTAAATATTTAAAATTTTATTTTATAACAGATTCAAATTTAAGCATTAATTTATGTTATATTGTTTCTTACTAGAAATAATTAAAAAAAAAAACTTTAGCATCAAATATCACAATATTATTTTTACATACACAGGATTGGCTGGAAGAAATTTTTCAAGATCGACTGGCTTCCACAATGGTGTATTATTAAGTAACTGTTCAAGCTGATAATATTTGGTTTTCTCCACAGGCATTACCCAAATATTATGCTTATGGATTTGAACTGTTGTAGCCTGATCAACAGTTCGTATAGGGTTTCTGATGCTAGATTTATAGCAGTGACGTCCTGTTGTTTGTGCAAAAACTCTATATAGTTAGAAATAGTAACTATAAATTTATTAAATGCATCACGAAGCCAATTAAAATTATCTTTTAGCATCCATGACGAAGTAGCATATGGAGCAAGAGCTTGACAATGTAAATATAATTCGTTTGCGTCAAAGGATTTTTGTGATTGCTTATATGATTCTGGATGTATGCGGCCAAAAACTCAAGAAAATGCTCAGGTATGTGATAACTATGATCTTCAAATTTCTGGTGATCACGCATATCAATATATCAAATAACTTCAGTCAAACTAGTAACAAATTGTTTTCCTTGTGTATTAGCATATGACTGAGTATACCATCCTCCACCACGATTTCGAATCCATTCAACGATATCACTGAGCAATTTTTGTTTACGATTGATTTTTCTGATTGTACAAAGGTTGGAAAATATAGCTGAGTTCGACGTACATTTTGTATTAGAATTGTGAATATATTTCGTTGCTGTTCTGAATTAAAATTTGGATTTTTTGTTTTGAGCCGATAATGCACATATATTCCTACACTTGTTGTAACTTCTATGATATTACAATTGATGCTGACTTGAGTTGCCGTCACATCCTGTGCCTTGCTTATCTCAA